AATTTAGGATGGTTTTGTTAGAATTCCTTGGTCTAACCCCCCTCCTGGGGAGCCCCCTTCTGGCAGTTCCCCCCCAAAGACCTATTAGATCCCACAGACTAGGCCTCCTCCGAATTCCATCTGCCGGCCAATGTCGGCTGGCGACTCCTCGGGGGAGGGCCGATCTCCCCGTTGAGATCCGGACGCTTACTACCCTTCCGCCTTCCGCAAAGCAACTAAGACCTGGCTGTTCCAGCAGGCCTGGGGCTGTTGAACTATCCAGCCCCATTCGAGGTTACGACTGTTGTGAATTTTAAATTGTTGTTTTTATTTTATTTTTTGTATCCCCTTCCCTTTTTATTGTGAGCCGCCCTGAGTCTCTCGGGAATAGGGCGGCATACAAACCAAATAAAATCTAAATCTAAATCTACAGTTACATAATAGAAAAATATGAGGTAAAATAATAAATGCAAACCAATTATTTAGCAGCATTTTTTTCTATTTTGTTTTTTGTAATATTGCAAGATGTGAAGTACTTATAGAAGCAATGTGAACAAATTCTTTTGCAGTGAAATACACAGATGAAGCAAACCTATTTTGGGTTCATATTGTGTCAAAGAAAATCTGTAAAGCATAACTTATGAGAAGTCATTTACACCTACTTGTGTATTAATGTCCCTACTAATCATCAGAGAAAATTGAATGTACAGATTTTGCTTCATTCCCATATTTCTAATATAGTTTAATAAGAACTCAGTGTTCTTATTAAAATTTACAGTTAAATGCAACTATGGGAAACATATTTTTCATGATTACAGCTAGGAGATATTTCAGCCTGGATATCTGTGGGAAGACAATTTATCTCCTCATGTGATAATAGATGCTTATTCTGGAATCAGAAGTGGATTAAATTCTGTTTGCTTGAACAAACAGAAGCTAAAGGTTACAATTAACTGCGGTTATAATCAGATTCCATGTTCTATAACTCATTTTGTACATTTTGTGGACACATTATATTGTAATAATGAAAACTTGTCTAAATCTTACAGGTTTATTTCCTCTAAAAACCTGGATGGGACTAGTTACTAAGAACCATGGTGGCGCAGTGCTTAGAATGCAGTATTGCAAGCTAATTCTGCTGAGTGCCAGCAATTTGATTCTCACTGGCTCAAGGTTGACTCAACCTTCTATCCTTCCAAGGTCGGTAAAATGAGATCCTAGATTAACTGTTTAGAGAGGGCTGTAAAGCAATGTGAAGCGGTATATAAGTCTAAATGCTATTGCTATTGCTACTACACCAACTCTGCTTGGTGTGAGATAGTGATCCACTACATAGAATCCAAGGGTTTTTAGATCTGGATTGTTACATTTAGCTAAATGAATACTGGTGAATTTGGTGTGAATGGAATCTTCTGGATTTTTTGACATGATACAGTTCTTCTTATGTACTAAGATAGAATTGTAAAAAAATATTTTTTGTAACATATCACCAAATACAATTGATATAGTAATTAATACATTATTTTTATTCCTATTTAATTTTTGTCTCAGTTTTTAGTAAATCTTATGCTCTATTATTATAGGTAATACAAATCATATCTCTCTACTTTGGGATAAGAACCTCTTCATTGCTGAAAGCCAAAGATTTTCTATTTTTAATGCAGTTAATACAAGTTCTTAGCATTTATAAGATTCATTCCTGTACCCTTTTACAAATTCTATCATGTTATCTTACCCCTCTGACATTGCCTAATTTCCGCTCAGCTTCTCCCTTTTCTCGCTTCAGGAGCTCACACATTTCTTTTAAATCAGCTACTTGATTCTATTGAAAAAATAAAATGATAAACTCATTCTACGGAACACTTCTAAAAATAAAAATGTACAGTAAAATGGAAAATTCAAAATATGCATAAAGAAGTTAGGCTTCTCTGCAATATTCATCCTATTACAAAGGTACCTGGATACATGCAAGAAAGGATTATATGTTTACAACGAACTTCTTTCTAGTTATCTAATAAATACATACTAATAATAATTCTAATGATTTACAGTATGTATTTAACTACTGTGATTATTTACATTTATAATACCAAACCACTGTATCACTGTATCACTGTCACAAGAATCTGTTAATTTTTAAATCAGACAATTTACATTAGAAAAGAAGAATGTGAATACAATGTTATTCAGGGTAATAATGCATAAGGATGATTGTGTTCTTACTAATCACTAGAAATTTCAATATTCCAAAGCTTTTGAAAAAAGGAGGAATCAGTGTAAAATCAGTTTATTATAACAACAGTAAAATAGTATAAAGATAAATGGGAGAAAAGGAACCATGTACTCAGCAGATTTTGATATGTAAATTCAGAATCTAAACAAAAATTGCATAAATATTTGATATTAAAATGTATTGCCTGATCAAAATTAATTTTAATGAGATGCACATATGAATGTCTTTAAAACAAAGGCTATTGTATAATCTACAATCATAGTCATATCTCATAAACAATTTCATTGTGAAATAATTTATTTCCAATAATCTAAGGTACAGGGGTATATACAGAAATTGATCCACTGATATATCTGAGCAGTTGTTACAAATTCATTTTTTTAAAAAGAAACAGTAATTTTCTGCAGACCATCAGATTCATAAAATAAAAATATACCTTTAATCTTGGCAAGTCCTTATTGGCTTGTTCTAACTGGAATCGTAACTCCATATTTTCAGATGACAATATTAGATTCTCCTTTTGAAGCTCTTGTTCTTTTTGATGTTGATCATCTGATCCTATCCCTGATGTCTTCAGAAGAAAGTTAAGTTATAATCAATGTTTAAAAGCTTAATAGTTGGCATTTTAAGATATTTAACAAATAGCAATGCTATTTAAGAATACTTAAATCTTTAATTATTAATTAAATTAATACTTTAATTAAGTATTAAAGAATACTTAATGGAACCTTAATTATATTTCCCATAATTCTGATGACAGGAAGCAAAAAAGCAACTGCTACTATAAAGAAAATGTGTATACAATCCCTTCAAACTTATTTGCACTTTTTATTCAAAACATGATCTTGCCAACGCAGCATATAAAACCCAAGATGTCTAAAAAGTAAATCTACAGTCTATTATTTAAAAGACTTCAGCAACCTGAATAGTTTACAGAAACAACATAAATATAATAATATTTTCCTTCCATTCAATCATATCCAATTGCAGAACAATTTCCTGCACTTTTCTTGACAAAGCTTTTCAAAAGTGGATGGCCGTTGCCTTTTTTCTAGGAGAAGTGAATAGCCCAAGCTCACCCAGATGCTTTGTGCCTAAACTGGGTTAGAACTCCTGGTTTTCAGCCTAATGCCTGATCTGATCTGATCCACAAGCTACCTCTATAAATAATAAATAGCATAAAATATACTATTATAATTGTTGGTGCTATGTTCAAAAACATTGTACTAAAATAATCATAAAAATATTGACAAAATCACTGGAACTTATAATCTACTATAGCAATGAATTTTATCTTGAAAAAGTATTTATAAGCTTAACTTACTGATGGCCTTGAACATGTGTCTCGGGGAAGCTGTTTCTCTAGTACTAGTAGTTTTTCTTGTAGATATCTGTTTTTTAAGTGCAAATCTTCTACAACAGCATCCCGAGGGACAGCATATTGTGTTCTTGATATACAAATGAAAAGATTACTTAATAACTGCACAATTTGACACGTGATTCATATTTCATATAAAGAAATGGCTTATATTTGTGTGACTATGTGATAAGGTTGGTTTAATCATAAACATTAGTTAAAAGAAAAAAGTCTTCTTTGGGTTGAATTGGACTTCTGATTTACATATATTTTAATGAATAATTATTGGCAAAAATACAAAATTGCCATTCCTTTCAGTTGCTTCTCAACTGTCACTAATCCATAATCCTGAGATTTCATAAAAAGTTCTCCACCCAGATATTAAAAAGAGACTTATTCAATTTTTAAACATCAATCATCGACAGGAGTATTATCACATTGCATTGTAAGCTAGCTTAAAAATCACTGAATTCTTTGGAAGAAAGAAATATGTCAGTATATAAAATGAATTTCAGAACTGTTCTCCTTATACTGACCTTCCTAAATGAAGGAGCGAAAGTTAGTACAGAAATGTGTACAGGTAAATCTCAGTGACTGCATCGGACAGCGATCACTCAGTGATGAAAAAGTAACTTTGAGACCAGTGCCCATATTTATAACCTTCACAGTGTCTGTCCGTCTGTCTGTCTGTCTCTCTTGTTCACCATTACACTCAGTCAGTACACATTGTTCTGTACCTGATCCATGTTTTCCCCTCTCCTTACAGAAGAGTTTTCGTAAACAAGTTATCTCTTCCTATACTGCTTGTCTCTGCAGTGCTTCTCTAAAAGTATTAACTGCAACTTAACATGCTCAGTTTTGTGGACTTAGTTGATTACAGCCCTTCAGCTGCCTAAAAATTAAATTTTACATTAAAGACTTTTGTTTGCCTCCTAAGACTTCACTAGGCAAACAGTAGGAGTTAAACTTAGGGTTGTGCATTCTCCAGTTTGCCTGCTTACTCTCTAGTAATCCCTTTCTCTCCAATGAATATAAAAAGATTAATTTCCTTCATTCTAATTATCCCAGCATCAGGCTGAGCATTCCAAAGAACAGAGGAGTGAAGAAAAAAGAGTATATGATTTGACGCAAGTTCTGGAAAATTTCTCTGCTGTTTGGGATCATATCCTGACACCGTAAGTCAAAGGAAAACTCATGTAAAATAGTAAGCATAGTTGCAGTCACATGATTTTCACACTAATTGCTTTGCTTAATGACCAAGTCATCTGTCCCAATATTGGTTGCTAAATGAAAACTCAATTTTCATGAGCTGAGGTTGTCTGAAAGAGCTGCCTGCCAAAGAATGTCAGCTTCCTTTTTTGTGGGCAGGTGGTGAAATGAATTCAGATCCTGATCATTTAAGCTCCATTTCTGCACCCTACCAAAGGAGTTCCCTTCTATGCATTGAGAGGGTCTTAACTCCTTCAGTGGGGTAGAGAAACAGGACTCAGATCCTGAAGATCTGAGCTTGGTTCCTGCATCCTGCTAAAGCTGATCCCTTCCACCCAGGGAAAGAGGCTGATATCCTTTGACAGCCACTTCTTTCAGCCAGCCCCTAGAGACAAGCAGAAAGCAGAGAGCCCGCACCGTACAGTAAGTAAGGCACATGAGGTACCTCAGGTAGGGTACCTTTAGCTGGCTTGATGCAGACTGTGCATGAGTGTTTCTCAGAGGCTGAAAATCCTATTTGGATTTGGGCAGGGAAGATTTTCAGCTATTAAACAGAACCTCTACCCCACATTCCTGAGGCATCCCACACTCCTTACCAGGGACTTTATCTGCTTAACAACATGCGTGATCACTTAACATCGGCAACAGAAGTGCCAGGATTGTGGTCATTGAGCAAAGCAATTACATGAGCAGTCACATGACATCTTGCTTAACAACAACTTCATTCAATGCCTAAGATAATAAAATTGATTTTTTTCTTACTTCAGGTGAACAACTTCATTCTCCAGATCCATATTTTGTTTACGAAGCTCTTCTAATTCTCGCTCTGATTCAGATGCTCTGACTCCCATAACATGATCAACGGTGACACTGCAGCTTTTGAGTTTCTTCTGCAAAGTATTTTTTTCTTTTTCAGCCCTGAAATATGTAATTTTTATGAATGCAACTTGTTTTCATGTGGATGAAGTATGCAAAATTAAATGTGTGCTAAATATTTATTAAAATAATATATATAATATGATATACCGTATTTTTCAGAGTATAAGACACACCTTTTTCCCACAAAAAAGAGGCTGAAAATCTGGGTGCGTCTTATACACTGAATACAGCATTTTTTTTGCCTCCTGAAACCCCACCCCTTTACCAAAATAGCCATGCATAGCTTGTAGAAGGTTTTCAGAGAGCACTTGGAGGCTGAGGAGGAAAGAAATTTTGCCCCCCACAGCCCCCAGGAACACTCTATAACTGGGATGGCGAACCTATGGCACATGGCTTTATAGGAGCCTGGGAGGGCGAAAAGAGCCTCCCCCGCATCCCCCAGAGGCCCTCCGGAGGCTTCAGGAGCCTCCCTGAAGCCTCCAGAGCGCAAAAAAGTAGCCCTATGGGCAAACCAGAAGTTTGGGAACACACTTCCGATTTGCTCATAGGGTCGGTTTAAGTGCTCTGGAGCCTTCAGGGACCTTCAGGCTTCCCTGAAGTCTCTGGAGGACTAAAAATAACCCTACGAGCAAACCAGAAGTCACCCCTGAAGGTCCCTGAAGCCTCCAGAGGGCCTTGGGGGGGGGGGGAGGCTGTTTTCGCCCTTCCGGGTTTCTATAAAGCCTCTGGAGCCTGGGGAGGGCACAAAAGCATGCAAAAAATGGGGGGGTCATGTCTGTCATGCGCCTATGCGCACTGGGGGGTCGCGCATTGTATTATGGATGCAGAACGCCCACGCACGCCCCTCCTGCGCCCCCCCCACTTATGGCACGTGAGCCAAAAAAGGTTCGCTATAGCTGCTCTATAAGCTTCCTAATGTCCCCCCTCCCCCTGCCGCTCTCCATGAACACTCTACAAGCCTCCTAAGGGCTATTCATGCCCTTTAAAAAAAAAAAACCAGGCCCGTTTTCGCAAAAAATGGGCCGTTTTTGGGAGGTTTGCAAAGTGCAAAACCTTTTTTTAAAAAAATTTGCCTCTTCAAAATCTTGGTGTGTCTTATACTCCGGTGTGTCTTTTACTCTGAAAAATACGGTATATTCATTAAAACAAACCTTTTACTTCCTCTTGCAGCTTTATTCATTTTCAATTTTTTTCAGTGAAAAACACCTTTTACAAAAGCATTTTGAAATGTGTGCTCTAGAAGCAATTTCTAAAAAAGATATATTGCTATTTATGTTAATATATTACTGTTGAATGATATATATATATAAATGTTCTGTACCATATTTGATTTCCATTTTTGATAATGATTACTTTTAGTAGTTGCTTGTGGTGATTTCTGATGAAGTAGTAAGATTGTAAAATGCATTTATTAATGTGAAAAATGTATTATGGCTCAGAATATATTTTTTCAGAGGAGATCAATTCTTATCAAATACATTTAAACAGCAATAAGTTTTGATATCATAGGTAATAAAAAATGGAAAAAATCAAACTAACTTGGAAAAAAGTTCCTTCATTGTGTTAAGCTGTTTGCTTAGGGATTCTATCTCCTTTTCTTTTTCTTTCAGCTTGTTTCTCATCCCATCAGCTTTGGTCTGCCATTTTTTACATTCCTCCCATTTAATTAATTCTTCCCTTGGGCTCTATAAAGTGAAGAAAAACAAAATGAACAATCTTCCCCTTTAAAGGTTTGCAATTTATCAGTCTCTAATGAAGCATACGTTTCTTGAAAATATGTGCCTTTGCATGTATAAACAAATACTATATGTAACATACCATTTAATAAAATACCATATATAATTACAAAATATGGGAGGGGCATAGCAAGTCAGAGATAAGTCATATTGGCTAAGGACATTTTATATCATACTTTCAACATCCTGTCTTCTCTTGGATTCTTTTTTTCTGATTCATCGCTCTTCTTTCCAAGCTCAGTTTCCATTCTTTTTATTTTTCTTTGAAGTTCATCTATTAGAATTTGCTCATCAGCCTTGCCCTGAAAAATAAAGAATTGCTTAAATCATAGTTCCTGTACATCACAAGTGACAAAGTACTACAACATTAGTATAAAGGCATTAATATTAATATAATACTTTATAATGGCATAAAGACTGACAAGTATGAGTATTGCAAAATTAGCAATTTCACAGGTTCATTTGAAAAAAGTGGATACCGCATAGATATTAATAGTTTGTGATTATAAATGTTGTTATATGTGTAACTGAAATTTCACTTGCTGAAATGACATAGAACAAGATGCAAGAAACATGTGAAAGCATTTGTCAACCCTGAAATTCGCCAAACTTTGGCCATTTTCTCTAGGGAGGTTTCTCTTTTCATTGCTTCCGGGCTGACACAGCCTGGAGCGAAGGGGCCATGGAGTGGGGTGTCAAGATAGTTAAGAGTATTGTAGCCTAAATAAAATTCTTTCCCCTAGGAATCCAGGATGGTGCAGATGTTCAAAAGGTAGAGACTGGGGTCACCTAGCAACTGGAGAGTATGCTGATTCAACCATGTGATTGGAGACTCTGAGGAGAAGTGACAAAGTTTTACTTTGAGTGAAAAACCGATGGGAACTTACAGCTGGTTTTTTTCACCAGGAACATGCCAATTTGATATGTCCCAATTAAAACGTTTGAGGAAATTGCCTGCCTCGAAGTTCTTATTGAATGGGATGTATTACTTGGAACCCTGACATAATTCTTCAAGCTTAAAAAAGAAACCTAGATGATGGAACAAATGTGCTCTAAGCAGAGTTCTGCATGAATGCAGTGTGATTTGTTTCATGACTGGATGATCTATTGCAGTGCTAAAAAAATAAAACAGCCAACAAACCAACAAAAAATGTCCTATGACAAAAAGGACTATTTACCTGAATTGAACTGGTTAATCTTTTATTCTGATTTTTCAGTTCTTCATTATCTTTTTCCATATCATCTTTCTCCCTTAGAACTTTAGTGTAGGCTTTCGTTTTTTTCTGAAGTTCTTGATTTAAATCATCCATATCATCTAATAGAGAATTCTCTTTATTTTTGCTTAATTTAAGAGCATCTTTAAGTTTCAACAATTGGTCATTCAAATCTTCAATCTGACTCTAAGAAATTAATATATATTAATATTATTTAGGACAACCAAAGAATGAATGATAGCATTAAATTCATAGGAGGGAAAAGGTTGAAAGCATTAATTTCTGGCAATAGAAGATAGCGTCTTATCTTAGTTGCAAAACACAGGAAAAATCAGTTGTATTTAATGGCTCCCAATTCAAAGCCACAAATTGTTTTTTACCACTGCATCCATTTTCTCAATATTATCTACTTTTGCTGACTGTGACTTTACAATTCGCTTTATCTGAGAAGAAGAGGATCTCTAAGAGAGTTTCCTAGTTTCATGGTTCCTGCTTGAATAGAAAATGGGACACCAGGGCCAGGAAAGCCTCTGCTCAGATTTTGTTTGTGTATCAAATGCAGCCATTCCTACAGCAGGAAGAAACAGTAAAAACATCTGCCACAAGGCCTAGAGAACAACATTGAGGGCAGTCAAGGCTACGATATACAAGTGTCTGATAATAATATTTTATGGACTAATATTGATTTTATGAGTTTCTGTTTTGGTTATATGTTTTTCTTATGGCTTTATATTTTATTGTTGCAGGCCAGGGGTGTCAAACTAGCACCCTGCGAGCCAGATACATCATGCACAGGCCACACCCACCCCGGCTCTGCAAAGGCAAAAAATATCACAATACGTCACAACATCACGTGACGCGATCGAGTTTGACACCCATATTGTAGGCCATCCAAGATCAGGTGAAGAATTCTTACAGTGGTGCTTAAAAGTTTTTGAAACCTTTTGAATTTTCAATATTTCTGTGTAAATATGATTTAAAACATGATTTTTTTCCTAAATCCTAAAACTAAATAAAGAGAGCCCATTTAAACAAACCAGTTAAAAATATTATACTGAAAAATTCAAAATGTTCACAAACTTTTAACAACCACTGTATTTGAATTTTTTAAATTTACTTTTTTCCCATTTTGTTTTATTTTTTTGGGCTAAAGTTGTAATGCAATTGAATTGAACTGCTAGCCCATTGGAAGAATTGTAATACTCTAGATATTATTAATTATTGCAAAATATTATGAGGTTCTAATTTATTATTATTTTTCTAGGAAAATATTCAGAACCATATTCTTTTCTGATACATTGTGTTAATAAATATCTTCTTGTGAAATCTCAATTTGTAATACTTGTATTGCACTTGAAATGGTATTCTTTTGACTATGCGGCAGCAAACTAATAGAAATACTGGTAGTATTTCAGCTGTTATATTTCTTTCTGACTATAAAAATAATTTATTATTCTATATCCAGCTCCATTCTGGGAAAGTGTTTTTTGTTATAGAAAGCATCATACATACATCTTCCTATTTTTGTATAATCCAGGTAGACTTATTTAAGCAGTTATTTCAGATGTCCTGATATAGTAGAAATGTGTGTGCCTGTGATTGTTATATCATACTGACATATAATCTTTTGATACTGTTTTTCCTGTTTAATCTGTTATAGATATGCTTTGATAAAAGAAAATTATACATATGCCTCAAATAACCATTTCACAATAAATACTGTTCATCTAAAACCCAGAAAGATGAATGCCCTCTGGAAAACTTGACGAGATGTCCTTCAAAACTCTATCAGATAACTGTTAATAACTTAAGCTGAAACTTTTGAATAAATAGTAATCACTCATATCTTGCTTTTGCAATTCAAAGTTTCAGAAATTATCCAAATAATTGCCCATTCTTTTATTTTGCCTCTTCTATTATTGATTGCCTTTTATTAATAACTGCCATTACGTTTGTAATTTTTGGCTAGAAATACTTTTGGGAGACAAATAATTTTCCTAGCTTTCCCTCAATTATTTAAAAAACAAAACAAAACAGAACAATTGTGTCTCAGCAGATTGGAATATCCAATATCAAAGATGTTGGAGAGTCCAAAACTGACTGACGTCCTTGGCCACCAGGACAGAAGGGAGAAATGAATAGCATTTCTATTTCCCATTATTTGGTTTAATATAGATAGATAGATAGATAGATAGATAGATAGATAGATAGATAGATAGATAGATAGATAGATAGATAGACAGACAGAC